AAGGTGCCAAGGAGGGGTATATATGGGTCCCGTCCCGTATGAGCTTAGCTGGGGGAACGCACATATACACGCTTACATCCCGTACATAGTACCTGGGTACGCCTCCAACATACCTCGTAATCATCGGAACACCGACTATACCTCCCAATCACGTCACACTTTCAATGAGCCACCCCGGTTTGATTGCCTGCACCAGATGTGCCATCTCCAAGGCACGATGCGACAGGAAGGTGAGTACCTGGCCAGAGCGTCACTTAATAAGCCATCAGTGCAATATCTGACACAAAGACAGGTACCATGCTCACAATGCGTTGCAAGAGGCTACGTTTGTCAGCCTAGAACTACCTCGCGTAAGCCGCGAGCTCCTCGAAAATCGACTGCACGGAGTCAAGCGTCAACAAGCCCGACAAACACCAACTATTCCAACGGAAGCCATGTTCCCAACATGGATCAATTTACTGGATACATGGTGCCAGAGAGCCAACCGCCGCAGAACAACGACATGCTTGCATTCGCCAACTCGGCTCTACCCGTACCATCTCTGGATCTTGGTGGTTACGACGACTTTATGGGATTCTCATATCCCGGTCCTCCAACTAACGGCGAAGCTATGGACACATCCAACAACATCTTCGCTTCCATATCATCGATGAATATGCACCCTAGCGATCCCTTGTATACGCCAGGCTGTGTAGGCGGCGGTCAAGGGCTTCAACAGCAAAACCATAATCTGTCACATGGGCCAAACCAACCGCTGACACCCCCCGATACGATACATCGAGGGAGCACAAGCATACCAGCGAGTTCGCCAGGTTTACGGAATGCTTTTACACCAAAGCAGTATCCACAGAAAGCTGTAGACCAATCTGCGACATCGGATGATGTACTTGCGCAGATGGTGGATCTACTCGCACAGCCTACCGCATGGCAAGGGCTCGCGGAGAACGACAGCGAACCCAGCCAGTCTCTCACCCACGATGCGAGAGACCGCATCGTCGCAACTGTACAGATACTCTTGCAACGAGCACTCTGGAGCCGACAATCTCCTTCAACATCAAGTCAAGGCCTCTTTGGACGCATCGTAGTCCTCCCACCCTCCAACGTTCTTATGCACTTTATCGAAACGTACGCAAACCGCATCGACTCCATTCAGCCCTATCTGGGTCTAGCTGGCTCCTCAAGCATCAACATCACAGACATTCTACATGTCGACAAGGCCGATGTCGGGATTCTACTCATCATACTTCTCATCTCCCAAGGTGCTATGCTTACAGATCATTTCGAATCGCACGTACTCGCCAACGGCTTGATTGAAATATGCAGGATCGCATTGGACGACGTTCTCGAGAGCCGCAGCATATCGCAACCAATGATTGGGGGAATAGCACTGCAGTTGCTTACACTCTGCGCACGGAGTGGCAAAGACTCGTTCGCTGCGTACGCCATGTCGAAAAGAGGGCAATATCTTAGTGTAAGTCACCAACCTCACGCGTGCGCTGGAAATTTGTACTAACTTCCACAGATGCTGAAATGCACTGGCGTCTTACAGCCCGAACAGACCGTGTGTAATCCAAGAGCAGAGGGACCAGAGATGTGGGAAATGTGGAAAGAGCAAGAGCAGCGCAATCGGTAAGACACATCTCACACTACCCCGTCGACATCTTACTAACACTTCTAGCCACGCATATGCTTGGGTCTACGTAGACCTCGAGATCAGCTTGTTACACGACCTGCCACCAATCCTCTCCATCAACGATTTGCAAGTACCCTTACCGCAAGACAACGAATTATGGCACGCCAAGTCATTCAACGAGTGGCTCGAGCATTCTGGAGCCAACGGAGATAAACCAGGACCCTGCAATGCCGCAAAGTTTGGTGCCTGGCTTGAGAAACAGGGTTCTGTTGGACCCCGCTCTGGCCACACAACTCCATCTCTCAACGGCCTTTTTCGAAGTTTCCTCCAGGGTCGGTTGATGGTCGGCGATGACGTACCCTTACACCACCTTCGTCTGCTTCTCCACCCCATACTGGCCATGGTGCTCGAGCAGCAGCAACTTCTGCGCATCTTTGACGCCGACGAACCTTCGAATCGATACCGGGTGCTTTCCAAGATCAAGATCCTGGGTCGCTTGCAGGAGACGCAAGATTTGCTCCAAGATCTGGCAACGCTTCTCTCGCGGTCAAAAGCTTCTTCCAGCAAAGATGACGAGGGTGAAGTAACCCCCACTGACTGTGTCAGCATGATAATGCTCCATCTGGTTAGCCTGAACGTGTTCACCAGCATCCCCGAGATTGAGAAATGTGCCAAGGAAGACCCGCCCATGTCAGACACGGCCCGTGCGGACATGTGGCGGTGGGCACGTCATCCCGAAGGAGAGAGATACGTGCTGTTCCATGCCGGCCAAATCTTCAGATTGATCGACAGATCGTCCATGGACGCACGGCCAACCTGGTGGCCGGTAGCTTTGTATCGTGCGGCCATGTCTTGCTGGTCTCTCCGATCTTGGGACCGAACCTCCTCATCGGCGGCGGTGGAGTGTGGCATTGATGCCTTATTACCCTCGGAGGAAGAGTGCTTCCTCAACACTACTACTGGCACGCCGGTCGTCACGCTTGACGATAAGAGACGGTTACCAATCCTGGAAGGTAATAACAGCTTGCAATACTGCATCAGCAAGCTTGAGAGTCACCCTACACATTGTTCACGCAACGTCATTGAGAAAGCACGTTACTTCTTGACTAGATGGTGTTGATGGTGTTTATGATCACGAAAACCGGGCGCAGGCGTTCAAAAGCAGGTATGGGATATCGATAGAACAGGATTGTCAGGAACATCACTTGGCTGCCGTCGACGAAGAAGCTCGTCTGGTCTTGGCTGTGCCATTGCAACAATAGAATACCCCGATGAGTTTCACCGCGATCACGTCCACACTTCAACAAGGTTCAAATCAATGTGCACTTCAACGTCACTCTCATGTACGATACAGCGCGGATAACATCCAGATTCATTTTATTAACTAATGACAGCCTTACACATTATCTAAATCCCGCGAGTCCAACTACCAGTGCATCATGCGAGGAAGAGCCACAATCTCAAGCTAAGCTTCACAGGTTCTGAGTAATACCAGGACTTGCCTTCTCCAGTATCGCCGACAGCTCAACCCAAATCCTCTTCCCCAGCTCCGCACCTTCCTCACTCCTCGCCAGCAGCGACGGCTCCTCCACATGATCGTCCAGGATATACTCGCCCTGACTCTCCGGCAGCGCCGTCGCATTCACCAGCAACCGGCTGCCCACCTCGACCTGTCGTCCTAAGACCTTCTTGAACACCACCGGTGCCATACCCATATCCTTGACCAAATCCGACTTGCAAAGACCAGGCGTAACACAGTTGACAACAACAGGTTCCTTCTTCTTGTCCTTGATGATGACTTGGGTTAAGTGCCGAACGAGGAGGATCTGCATGAGTTTGGAGACGTTGTAGCGATCAGCCATGTCGGCTTTCTTCTCGTCATCCAGCTCGTCGAAGATGCTGTCTGCCTTCTTCTGCGGGAATTGCGTCCAGTGGTGGACTTCGGAGGTGACGATGGTGAGATACGGCTTCGTCTTGTGTATTTCCGCTGTTCTCCGCAGAACGGGTAGTAAGAGCAGAGCGAGCATGAAGGTTGAGATGACGTTCACTGTGAGATGTGCTTCATGACCCTCAATTCTCTCGAATTTCCCCTGTGCTATTCCCGCATTCTCCAACACAATGTCAATGCAAGGTAGTGTCTCGCATTTCTTCGCAAACGCCTTCACGCTGGCAAACGACGAGAGATCCAGTTCCCAGACTTGCAGTACGCCGGTGCGCTTCGTCGTGGCTTCGATGTCGCGTTGGGCGGCTTCGCCCTTGGAGCGCGTGCGGCATGCAATGATGACGGTGGTTGCGCCGCAGCGGACAAAGTGCCGTGTTGCTTCTAGGCCGAGGCCGCTGTTGGCGCCTGTTACGATGACGGTCTTGCCGGTGAAGGTCTCCGGCTGAGGCAGCTTGGGCGTGTAGAGCAGTTGGGACTTGAGGAAGGCGGGGAATGAGGACATGATTGGTGAATTTCGTGCTGAAGCAGCTATACCGCGAAAGGGAAATGCTTGATGGAGAGCAAAGTGGGGTGGTAGGAAGTGAGGTGAGATCGATAGTCTCTTGTCTTTCGCGCGCGTAATTCAAGTCAGGCCAGCAGTCTTGACTCTTTGAAGGTGATATAAAGAGGAGATACGAAGGCAGAAGTAAGCGCTTCACGATCCCACAAACCTCACTGACGTCAAGGAACGCACGAGAACGGCGCACGCACAACGAGAATTAGTCATCTCGGTGTCCGATATTGCGCACGAACAGCGCACGCCTGCCTTCTCGTTGGCGACAATTCCTTGAAAGGATGCGGCGTGGTGAGCGTTTGTTTGCAAACTTTGTACGGAACTCCGGACTAGCGCGTTTTGCCGGGTCATAGCGACCTTGGAAGCATCGAATCAGGCGTCCCATCATCTCGGAATTAAGGTTTTTGCTCGCGAGATACTCAGCGGAGAACGGCCCGATTACAGTCTCAGCCTTAGCGCGGTCCTTGTCCGTGTTCGTCTGGAGGGCAGCCTTATGGTCGTTGGGTTTGGTAACGCGGTTCACCGGTTTAGCAGGAACTCGGACGTGCGGTCGTAGGATTCTTGCTTACCTGATTCGAAAATCTACAAGCTGGAAATCCGAGGTTTATAGGTGCCGATAGTTGGAGAGCCGGCGTAGGAGGTGCGATGAGGAGTGACGAGGTGCGTGGATGGAGTTCGGTGATGTTTGCGGAGGAAGAGCGACGGACGTTGGTGGAGAGATATAGAGAAGGTGCGTTGAAGATATAAACACATACTGCATCTCGCTCTCATCAACGCCAGCATCATCAAAGAGCTAACTTACGTCTCTCATCGTCTTGCCATAACCCATTTTTTGCTATTCGCATCCCCAAGTCTTGCAACCCTCATTCAAGATGTTGTCCTTTGCCCACCTCCAATTTGGCACCCTCCTCCAAGCCACATTCCTCCTTGGCATGAACACGGCCCTATCCACTATCTCAATACCCTCCATCCTCGAATCTCCCTCTCCCATCCTCGCAATCCGGCAATGGCACTACCAGTTCCGCGCTGCGCAAGTCCCCGCTACTTCGCTCTCAGCCTCGAACCTCATCCTCTCTGCCATCATGACATATGACTCCTCCACGAAGCAGGGGGTTACGGGGAAGACCACCATTATCTACGGCGTTAGCAGCGTATTGGCGTTCCTGATCTTCCCATTCACACTTCATTACATGAACCCGGTGAATGACGTGTTGATCGAGAAGTTCAGGGCGCAGAAGGATCTACATTATGCGGACCTACCAGAGAAGGGCAGGGGTATGCAGACTGCGAGGGTGAGTTTCCTATATCTTCCGTGTTGCTTGTAAAGGTGAGATGCGAGAGATTCTAACGCTGTGTTGTAGGATCACGATAAGATCGCCTACTGGGGCTACCTGAACCGTGTGAGGATTGTGCTTTATGCTGGGTTCGTGGCTTGCAATGCTGCTGCTATTCTGGTCTAGAGACAAGCACACGGAGGAAGATGATTGGGAACGGGTAATGCCGAGTGAGATGGTATTGATTTGGCGGGTATGTTTCGGCAGCCAGATGCAGGCGTGTTGAGCTGGCGTTACGGAGGCGAGAGCATATCAACGAGCTCTGCGTTGAAGATGCGAAGTATTGAAAGGCATCAAAGGTAGTGGGAATATTGGCGTGGGTATTAGCTGGCGACATGTCGATTCTGCGCAGATGAAATGTCCAATTTCTTTCCCGAGCATCGAGTATTGTAGTGAGCATGATGTACATTCATGTCAATATCAATGAAACGCGTAGGACGTGTCGCCTCTAGAGTCATTCATGCCACTTTTCTCTACATTCTCATCACCCGTTGTCTCTTTCTTCTCGTCTACAGCCGTAACAAAAGTGGCTAGTGCTTGATCTGAACTTTCGGTTGTCGAAGATTGTTGATACATCTTCTCGCGCTTCGATATATTTTGTTTTGCCTTTCGCCCTCAATTCTCACCGAGCGAACTACTGTAGGCTTCAGATATTCAGCGGTTTTGTTCGATAGGAGGCAGCGGTTGTTCATGCTGTTCGAATAAAGTGGCCTCCCATAAATCGACAGCTGTCAGTTCAACTCTCGTGCCAAACCTTTTCACCGCATCACGGAACATCGATATTGAGTCGTAGCAAGACATGTGCTGATGATTAAGAAATGATGGATACGATGTTTGATAGAACCATAGATTATGTACAACTCGATGGGACTGAGAAAACCGACGAGGCCGAGAACCAAGCTGAGAAAGGCAAGAGCACCTAGCCCTAACTGTGGCGAAATGGAACATTATACGAAAGAGTTGAAGTGGTTGAACAAACCCTTCGGGTCATACTTCTTCTTCAGCAGCCTCAGTCTTGGAAGTTTCGTCGCGCCATACACTTGCTCCGGCTTCTCGTCGCCACGTGCGTAGTTGGGAAACACATTGCCATCGGGGTTTCCGCACGCTGTCATCAAATCGGTGCGTATCTTCGCGGTGAACGTGTCGACGGTGTTGGTCTGCTCCGCAGTGACATTGCCAGGTAGGTAAAAAGCGAAGAAGCCATAGGCTACAGTTTTGCGCCAAGCATAGGCTGTAGACTCATCGTCGATGCTTGCCGTTACGCCGAGGCCAAATTTCTCGATAATCCAGTTGGTATTATCGATTGCGGGGTTCGCAAGGAGGAAGTTGATGTATTTCGTGAATGTGTCGACCAGCGCAGGTACAGTGAGGTTGTTGAGCTGAAATCCCCACATGTCCGCGTCAACACCCTTCCGCTGAGCGAATATATCGCCGCCGAAGTTTGCTACGCTCACTAGCCGGTTGTAGGGTACGACCGAGATGTTACTGTAATATGGCTTCTGCTTGATGAACGACTTGATCGCGGCGTCGCCTTGCTGCTTGCTGCCGTAGTAAATGGCGGAGACATCGATTGTTGGCTTGACAATGTGTTAACAGAGGCCAAATATCCAACCAGACGTGGCTAGCACTTACGACCTTGTTCTTTATGGAGGATCCAATCGTTAATGCCAGCTTATCATCTTGCTTGCCTTGATAAGTCTGGAAGATTTCAAATATCGTGGCGTTCTTCTCAGCTTCAAACGACATGTCTGCATTGTAAACCATGCCATCATTGATTGTATCGTAAATGCGATAGGTCGCTGATGTGACCACACCGAAGTTGAAGCCCGCGCCACGCATGCCCCAGAAGAGGTCGGAGTTCTCAGTAGCCGACGCCGTTAGAATCTCGCCCGATCCGGTGACCATTTCCACGGAGAGTAGAGAGTCAATCAGGAGTCCGTGTTCACCAGTCAAAGGTCCTACACCCCCACCCAACGTGAGGCCAATGATGCTTGGCGGAGAAGTCCCACCAGAAGCTGAGGGCTTTGTCAGTAATCTAGGATGCCGACTATGTCGGAGACTTACGCATCATCTTGCCGGCCGCATACAGCGGATCGAACATATCATGAAACGTAGAACCGGCTCCAACGACCATGGTGTTGGTGGATGCGTCGACTTTAATCTTCTTGAAGTTGCGTAGATCAACATCGAGCGCATTGTGTAGGCCAGAAAGAGTGGTCGAGTACCCGTGGCCACCTCCGGTTGCTAAAAGAGGGACCTTGTTCTTGGTTGCATACCGCAAGATCGTCTGTACGTCTCTCGCTGTAGCGGGTTTGGCAGCAACGGCATAGGCTGGCTCGGCCTTATCGTAGATGCTCCATCGTTGCGTGAATTCAGTTGGGTAAGAGGAATCGGTGGTGAGAACGACGTGTGATCCATTAGAAAGGTTGGAGGACAAGTCGGTCTCGATCTGCTGTGTAGTGATGGCAATCACCTGTCGTGCAAGAACAAATGTGACTAGGACGAATAATGACAAGATACCCATAGCGAAGGGACGATGCAGCTAAACACTAGCAATGCAATGCATGTACAACAAGGATGAGGGAAGCAATGAATGTATCACGAGAAAACGTGGTCCTTCCGGTTTATAAGCTCTTGGAACCTCGCTCGGGCCTTGCTTCGGGTCATATTCAGACGATGGCAATTAAAAGCATTGGGAGTGAAGGGCAATGTCTCAGCGGCAAAGCCTCATCGACCCCAAATGCACATAATGCAGCGCGAAGAGCGGCCGTCTGAGATTCTCGAGCCGTAATCTAGCTGAACGCTTCAGCCACTGTTAGTAACCTGGACCTAGATCCCAAGCTAACGTCGTATTCCATGTACTGTTCATGCAAGCGGCTACTCAGCTCCAGCAGAGTGGGTACCGGGTCAGGCTTCAAAGCGCAACACAGCTGCCATCTGCCTCGCGCCTCCCCCCCGCTGCCTGATTATGATGAGACATGAAGATACGCGCTACACGAATCAAAGTCTGTGGAAGCTGCGTGTACGGCGGAGGTCCGTGACGACGGGACGGGATCGCGTTGTCAGTGATGGATTCGCGCTCGGCGGTTTTAGAGCTTATTGTCTAGCGGACTCCCGCTGCGAACAATTCGTAGCCGGTATGGGTTTCGATCGAGTGGGTGGCCGAGCGAGCGCGAAATTGGGGGCTATGGTGCTGCTGTATAGGCTGTGACATGAGGCGTCGTCGTGGGTGGGAACAGATGGGATGTGGGAGACCCTGAGGATGCGATGGTTGGAGCTTGCCAAGACCGTTAGCGTGGAGCGCACGTGGTAGCCCACTTCACCTAGCTCCGGACTGACAAGATGAACCATGACCCTTACCCTTCCACTGCCACACCGAACGTGAGACGAAGCTCAGAAATACGATAAGCCCTTGAGTGTAATACGGCTCTCCACCTGTAGAATGCCATCCGATCGGTGGTCGGCGGCCGCAGTACCGTTCTCAAGAGGAATCGAGCTCCGGGATGATGCATGCGCGTTCTGTATCGAACAAGCCATGATATGCTGATAGCGTTCACGAGACATGACGCTGAGGCAGGTCCGACAGGATGAGTGCGATGAATACATGGCAGTCCGGAGTTGAGGCGACAGTAGAGTTGGCCTGAAAACCATGAGAACCGTAGTTAAAAGCCCTGTGGACTGGCCCAAGGTTGGTATCAGTTCGACATTCCATTCAGCTGTCTTTTGTTGGCTCTAGCAATCATGATTGACGTGGGAGTTCAACCGCTCTCGCAAGCCATGCTTTCTCTCTTCGTTCCCAGCATCGCCATCAGTGTCATAGGTGCTTTTCTTCTAGCCGTTGTTCGTCTGTTCAGGCCGAAAAGGCCCAAGTACAAGCCGTTGCCGGGCCCCAAAGGTCAGTATCTATCGTCTGAAGAAAAATGCTTGCTGACAGTGCTATAAAGGTCTACCATGGATCGGACCTTTCCACAAGTTCCCTTCCAAGGATGTGTACAAGAAGTTTGCTGAATGGGTACGATCCCTATCGAGGCTTCTGACTATGTGACTAATATTAGTGCAGCACGAAGAATACGGTCCAATCTACCAATTCACTCTTTTCGGTGTGAAACACATTCGTGTCAACAGCGAGAAGGTGTGCCAGGATCTTCTCGCAAGACGTGGAGCATACTATTCCAATCGCGCGCCCACACCCAACATCCCAGGCGCTAAAACCGATGCAGAATATCTTCCTCTCTTAGACAACAATGGTAAGTATTCATCGAATCATCTTCGAGTGTGGCTGACAGATTATGCAGCGGCACTTACAAGACACCGTAAATTCGCTCACCAATGTCTATCCGAGACCTACAATTACGACATGTTCGGCTTCACGCACCTCGAGATCACGCGGATGATGGTCTCGTTGATGAAGGACAACCGCAACTACCCCGATCTCGCCGAAGAGTTCACCCATCGTGTGAGCGCGCGTCTCGCCTGGGAAGACCCCAAGCTAAGTCGTGGATTGAACCGAAGCTCGGCTGGCCTACTTGCTGCCATATCTCCAGCAGGGAAGCTACCAAACAGGTTTCCAGTCGTTCAAAAGTTACCTAACCTGATCAATCCTTGGTATTGGCAGGAGAAGGCGCGCCATGATGCCCAAAGGGAATTTTGGGTCGGGGCCATGCAATCTGTTAAGGCCAAGATGAACGCTGGTATTCCCGGTCATTCCTGGTCTCGCACGTTCTTCAAGGACAAGGAGCGCTTGAAGTTCCCCGATGGCGTCCCAGACGAGAAAGAGGGTGCTTTCGCGATAGGTATGCTTGCTATCACAGCATCACTACCCATGTCTTCGCCCATCCAGACGTACTACCTCGCTATGTGCCATTACCCCCATTGGCAGAAGCGACTACAAGACGAGATCGATGAGGTTTGCGGCCCCGACCGACTACCTACATGGGCCGACGCACCGAAGCTTCCCGTTCTGAGAGCAATCGGCAAAGAGCTGATCCGCTGGAGACCGCCAGTCCCTACGGGCGTTCCCCACGAAGCTGAGAGAGATGATGAATACGATGGATACTTCATTCCGAAAGGTGCGCTCATCCATGCTACCGAGTGGGCGCGCCGGAGTGACGAATCCTTGTACCCCAACCCGGAAGAGTTCAACCCAGATCGCTATCTGAACCCGAAATACCCTACTTACAAGGAGCCTCTGACAAAGTACCCCAATGTCATCAATCACCATGTCTTTGGCTATGGTCGTCGCAATTGCTTGGGTATGGAGATTGTAGACTACCAACTGGTCACAATCATGGGCTCTTTGGCCTGGGCGTTCAATGTCACCAAGAAGAAGAACAAGGTTGGGATTGGTACTCATCCCGCTTTTCCGCACCTCGTTCTTATGCTGACATAATAACAGATATACCCATTCACACAGAAGATTGGACAGACTTGCTCATTACTCGGCCGGAGGTGTTCGTCTTCGACATCAAACCAAGAGATGCGCACAAAGAGAAGAAGCTTGTGGCCATGTATGAGGAGGCTTTGGTGGAACATCCTGATCTTGCTATCTGAACAGCTCTTCTTCAGAAGACCTTGGTGGTCTCGCACATTACGCCGTGTCTATCTACCATGCCGTTACGTCTCTTTTCTTTCTTAACGTAGTTAATTTCGGTTGTTTCGCTCCTTGCGTACCAAGTAGAACATCTTGTCTATCCTACAATGTTGGCCCGCAATTTTCTCGTGCTAGTGTCTAGTGAAAGATCGTGCGCGTTGCTCACGAACGTGTCTACGCTTTGCGAGAGCCTCTTTCGTCACTCCTAGTCAACCTACATATGTTACTACTTCGTGGAAGCATGCGCCATATTCGTCATGTACGGACAACAAGACGTGGAACAGCATGCGCCCCACTGATGACTCTGAGGATGGGATACCGTTCATCAAGTCAATTACCTGCACAGCTATGCGCGTTCAATCCGCTATCAACCGACTTCAACCATTGCGTACCGACAAGGTATTCGGTCTTCCATGATTTATCCTGATATCGATGATGTTGGCACATTGCCACTTATCATGTCTATAGTAGCTCTCGACTAAAAGTGTCGAATCAACACCACAACATCCGTGTATACTGCGATCTTGATGTTCAGTTTCATCGAAAGCGCCCCAAGCATGTTGTCGTTTTCTACAAGTGCATTGGTTGCGAGTTTGGCGTTGCGTCACCGGCGCGTCGCGTCGAAAGCACGCGCCCCCCAACCACCACCAACATGAACAGGACGTCCGCAAAACGTCGATTCGATCGCCATAGACGACTAAAGACATGCGCGACCCCGACGCAGCAGCTAGCAATAACTCAAGAGGTGCTGACAACACACCGAGGCCTTGGTTGATGGAAGTCACGCTTGTCCGCTAGCGCCGACGGAACTCCGTGCAAGAACGGAAGCGACCAAGGAGGTCCTTCCCAAGCGCACACCAAACACTCCAGCAGGCTCCTCGCATGAAGACGATTTTCGTCCGTCCTCGCACTTCGGGACTGGGGCCGCTTAGGGAGTCTATGATGCTGCGGCATCGTTGAGACTACTATTTTGCTAATAACCTGCGACGTAGAGCATCAGTACTACGACCATCAAGCACCGTCGTCTCTCTTTTCTTTATACCATCTGCGATAATCTTGCAAACATGAAGGAAGACGTTCTCAGACGCCCAGATGAGGAGAAAGATCTCCATTCAACCGAAGGGTCGCTCAATACGGGGTCGCTGAATACAGGGGAGGAGAAAGAAGAACTAGCGCATATCCAGTTGACGAAAGGACGATTCGTACTCGTGCTGGTAGGACTGGTCTTGGCTATTTTCCTCGTAAGCAACGTCGTTACCCATCAATACGAGGAACGTAAACTAACCAATCAATGCAGGCTTCCCTCGACTTTGTAAGTACAAGCAACGAGTCTCTCTTCTTCGACACTTTCCAAGCAAGATCTAACCGAAATGGTAGACCATCATCTCAACAGCCATTCCCAAGATCACCGATGAGTTCAAGAGTCTCCAAGACATCGGCTGGTATGGCTCGGCCTTCTTCATCACCACCGCTGCGACCACAGCATTCTGGGGACGACTGTACACCTTCTTTCCGCTGAAGTGGACGTACCTCATCTCCATCTTCTTCTTCGAGTTGGGTAGTGTGATTTGCGGTAAGTTTATATCCTCTGATAGTTCTGAATCTGAGCTCTTTCTTCCTTTGATATCAACACCATGCTAATGGTATGCGTCAACAGGTGCCGCGCCCAGCTCTGTAGCTTTGATCATCGGTCGCGCGATATGCGGTGTTGGTGCAGCTGGACTGTTCTCTGGCTCGTATACCATTATTGCCGTTCTGGTACCCTCAGCAGATCGACCCAAGTACAGCGGTTTGATGGGCGCAGCATATGGTCTCGCCAGTGTCGTCGGCCCGTTGATCGGCGGTGCTTTTACCAGCCACGTCTCATGGCGCTGGTGGTACGTTGCAGCCAAGTGCAAAAGCTTTTGGAGGCTCTCGCTGACAGCTTCACAGCTTCTACATCAACCTTCCCGTGGGCGGTGTATCCTGCCTCTTCATCCTCCTCTTCTTCGCAAACGAACCACCCAAAACTCGCCCTGACTGGCGTGGCATGCTTCGCACACTCGATGTGCTCGGTCTGATCCTCATCATCGGCGCAATCGTTTGCTTCATCCTCGCGCTGCAATGGGGTGGTATCTCGAAGGCTTGGAACAGTGGTGCTGTGATTGGTACGCTGGTGGCCTTCGTCGTTTTGATGGTTCTGTTCGTGGTTGATCAGTGGTGGCTCGGTGAGAACGCCATGGTTCACAGCCTGATCATCCAGAGAAGAACAATCTGGGTCGGATCGATGTTCTCGTTCCTGATCAACTCTGCCTTCTTGGTCACGTTCTACTACTTGCCGATCTACTTCCGTAAGTCCGCTGAACTACATACCATACCAACCATGACTAATGATCGATAGAATCCGTACAGGGCGTTTCGGCAGCCTCGAGTGGTGTTCGCACTGTCCCCTTCATCCTCGCAGTCAGTAAGTAGGCCACCATCGTACATTCTCGCTTTCAAATGCTTACGACGTTTGCAGCCATCTGCGTCGTGATCGTTGGTCAGATCATCACAAAGACCGGCTACGCGTATCCGTGGATGATTGGAGGGGCGGCCATCACAACCATCGGTGCCGGTATGATCTACACCTTCGATGTCGATTCACCCGCCAAAGTCTGGATTGGCTACCAGATCATCTGCGGTATCGGTATCGGAGTGAGCTTCCAGGTCCCTGTCATGCTCATCCAGGCGACCACGAAGGAAGTCGATGTGCCATTGGCTACTGCCACACTTCTTTGTAAGCCGCAGTCCATATGATCGCTCTCGTCGACGCATTACTAACGAGCGCTACAGTCATCCAAACCCTTGGCGGAGCTTTTGGTGTCTCGTCCGCTCAGGCTGCCTTCCAGAATACGCTGCTCAAGCAGCTGCTCATCACAGCACCAGGTCTCGACCCCCAGATCGTTCTGGACGCCGGTGCTTCCGAGCTCAAGACGCTGATTCCAGCGCAATTCCTCGAGGGAGTGCTTGAAGCCTATGTCGCTGGTTTCCGGGAGTGCCTGATTGTTGGTATTGCATTTGGTGGCGCTGCGTTCCTTGCTGCTTTCGGCTTCCGCTACACCAACATCAAGAGGACGGCCGCGTTGGAGGCGTAGAAGCACAGTATGTTTTGGACTAAGTTGGAGAGAAGCGTTCCTTTATATATGGATGATGCCTCGAAAAGGTTGTCAGTAGCATAGTACTAGATTGTAATTAGCGTATCAAAGGTTATATGTGCTGGCGCTAGACCAAGTGTACTTTCAACTTGCGCGTCCAACATGTCGACATTTTCCGTATCACCTTGTGGGATGGATATATATGTGAAGTCTCCTGCAGGGCGCAATGCTACTGGTGATAGGGCTTTATACAGGCCCACCGAAGGCATTCCACTGACCGAGAGCACCCCAATCATCAGCGGCATCACTGAAGTTTCCAGTTCCATTCCCGTTTATGCCAAGTGACATTCCCATGCCGGGGAATTCCATGCCTCCTTCGAAACCATCCAACCCAGCGCCGGAGAAAATGTCCAGGTCCAGGTCAAGCCCAAGCTGAGCACTCGCTGGGGTAATCTCTTCCGCCGGTCTGGTATCCAAGACTGTATCAATGACCTTAGTGAAGATCTTGCTCGCCTTGCGAAAGAGGTTGTAGTTGGCTTCGCCGTGTCTAGCTCCAGAGTTTTCCATGTGTGCGGCCGAATCAAGATGTGATATGAGCACGCTGAGCATGCGAATAATCTCCGCGCGAGATATTTCAGCGGGGAATTGCTGACCTGTTCGGTGTTGTTCGCGCAAAGCTGTAGCAAGTACCGACGCCGCGGGTACACCAAACAGCAGTAGGGCGTTGAGCATGTCGCGTTGAACGTCGTATGATCGATCGCGTATTCTACCCAAGGTAAGTGTATTGCAAAGAAGATCAACAGAGACGCGCAATAGCGCAGTGTTGAGCGTCAATGGGCTGTAATCGAGCAGCTTTTGAATCATGAACTCGTTGTACCAATGCGTGAGGTGTATGATGGACAGCATCAGACAGATTACCGTAGGAACATCGTCTTCCCAACAGGTCTTCCAGTATCGCATATGTTTGGGTAGCGTCTCCCAGGAAGTGCGTACACGCTCGGATATATCTCTATAAACTTGTTAATAGAAGCCAAAGTAGGGTCATCGTGACATACGTACAGTAACTGGGCTTCCGCGTTTGCATCTATCTTGACGAGCGAGAATTCTAGGATTTCTTCGCGACTTCGGAGGGATATATGACGTAAACGCTAATGTACGTTAGCTAAGGGAACGGCACCAGCCTAAGTGGAAGACTTACGATCCAAGACGCTCTCAACCATCTGCCTTTGGTATTCCAACCATCCTCGTCCAACGCTGCGATGGCAGATTCTAAGGTCGCCTGGTCACCGGTGACTTCATTATCGGCCAGGTCGAGTGGAAGCTCGATGTCAGTGTGCCTCTTGCTGATACGTATCGGACGGCCAAGGAAGGTGGATATCGACTTGTCCTGGTTGTATGCCGAACAGAAAACCCTACGGCGTGTTTCCGTCAGCCATTTCGGAGCATGGGCGCATTTCTTCTCTTGATGTATTCCCAGTGCATATATCTGGGTCGACAGTTCACCTATCCGTCGCCAGCTGGGTGGACCTTGATAGCCGCAGATCATGATTGTGAATAGGTAGTTTTCGTAATACATCCAGATGGTTATGTCGTTGACTGTCGCAAGCATCGTTGTGAGAAAAAGACAGGTTGTACTCGCGCGAAGTAGCTCATCGGCAAAGTGTAACTTCATGTCCTTGTTGGCAGGATCACTGAAGATATCCGGAACGAAGCCGAACGTTAGCGATCGCCCGGCCGTCGCGAGGAGGAAGCCGATAGTTTCGAATCTTAAATTATCGCCAGAACACAGGATGTGAAAATCGTGTGCTTCCATTGACTGTGATACTGTGAAAGGACGTGCAGTCGTCTCGAGTACTTGGCTTATCAGCAGAGAATTGGGTTTCTTCCGCCGAAGGTCATGCTTGTCGACAACAGCTTCTAACGCATTCACGGCGTCGACCTGAACTTGGGCAGGTATCACACCTGCTTCATTTGTTGCATTGTACCATAGAACGAGCTCTTTGATTGCGTTGTAATGGCGAAGAGTGCTCAAAACGTCACAAGCCATCTGGTAGCGCATGGACTTGGACAGGGTGTGCTGGTGTGTAAGTTCGCGATCTGATCGTTCTGATGCAACAGACTCCTCGCGTTCACGCATCTGACCGGGTTCTTCATCCTGGGGAAGAAGTACGGCGTACGATCCAGGCCCGAGGAACCCAGGGTGATATACATCAGCAGCAACGGCATCCGCAAGCTTGTCACCATGCGACGGAGACGCTGGGGCAAAAGCGGCAACAGCATCCGCAGCCTGCTTCGAGGGTCGTCTGTTCGAGTCAGAATACTGATGTGAATGTAGTTCCAAATGTATGCTTACTTTCTTTTGGGGGGACGGGCTTCACCTGTTCCTGACTCATCGGCACTCTGACGCTGTCTGGTGAGAGGTGCTGGGTGGTAGAAGCAGCGGTCTTCAATACCACGCTGACGACATCGATCACACTTCGGATGGCCATGATCACACTTGGTTTTGTTCAACCTGCACGGTTCGCAGGATGCTGGCTTGCCATTGCGCCTGCTGCTGCCCGCGTCCCTGTCGATTGGTTAGCAGGTGGATAGTTCTAGACTGGACGCGTATCTTACATGTCGATAACTGCACCAGTGTGTGCACGGAAGGACTCTCAATTCATGTGTATGTGACATAATATCGGAAACACGCGTCGGTGAGTTCGTCATGTCAGTGGTTGGGCGCAGGCGAGATTGTGACGCGGGTTGCCTAAGCGCGAGGTGTGTTATCGATAAGCGACGCGTGCAGCCCGTGACGCACTCTCCTCCTCCCGAGGTCCTTTACTGCCACCACGCATCCATCGCTACGCGCCGGCACACATGCATGATCATGTCAGCCAGATCTCAGCCTCCGCCTGGTAGAAAGGGGCAATGGCATCCTGATGGGCTACTCCCATGCGATGCACAGCCTCATGCACAGCCTGCCAGCCTCCATATGGAAAACCTTCTCTTTGCGCATCCAGCAGTCTATTGCCTTCGCTCTGCCATAGTGACTGAGGCTTACGGGTTGCCCAATATACACAATTGGCATGTTTCTAGGTCCTCCCCCACCTGATCCACTCCGAATACGTCTCGCGCACGCCTTGGGCTTCCCAAACTACCCCAACGATGACACCGTCGAACCGTACATCAACTACCTTCTGAACCAGCACGATGCTCGTGGTACTCCGGAATACGAAGATCTTCTCATTACAATAGTACAACACTTCCATGGCCCTCAGCCCCTTGGATCAATGAAGAGGAGCATTGAAGGGCTGCTACATTCGCTATCTATCCACCCGAACACACAATGGCACGAAGAGGACACGGTGGTGCGCGCTATTGGCTGCTGCACACTTTTACTGAGCTCGTTCACCGATCTACCAACGGTAGCCGGTAAGCTCCGAATGGTGACGGCAAGCTACAATCTGCGCATGCACGGAAGCCTGCTGGGTGGCCAGCCATACTTCGAGAGCTTGGCAAAATTGGTAGCGGGCAGCGGTTTGCTACCAGCGCCTGTTGCATTCGCCTCTGTGGTGACCATGGCAGATTTAGAGTCCTTGGAGTCGCTCTTTGTTGACGCGACCCATCTCAACGCGTACAGATTGACTGTGTTCGGAGCAGTGGAAATCACCTGGACTCATAACATCTCCCGGCACCTCCTGCTATCGAACCGCAACGGACGTCGCATACTTGAGATCTTCGCGCTACCATGCGCCTTAGATGCCGCTCCCCTTAGGATGGTCGGTGTCGGTAATGAGCTGGCGCAAGAGGTCATGGAGTCATACAGCTTGCTGTTCAACGCCTGGCCTTCATTGGGTCCTCATGCTAAGCTTGGCTTATGGGTACGTGTTTCTGTATGAACTGCATATGGAGCATACACTGACTTGGTATACCTATATACAGCGGCGATGTTGCCCATGTCAACCATGTTCTGCTCGACGATACCGCAATCGCGCGATCAGCGATTACCAAGCCTTTAGTCGACTTCAACGTAGCAGCGAATACGACACTAAGCTTCCTCACCTCATGAGCGCCATAAATCAGCAGCCGATCGCATGGACACCTGGCATATTCCCTCATCTCTGGTCTCGAATCATGATCCTAGATGAGCATCTGCAGCAGGCGAAGCCATGGAGCATTGGGGTCTTGTTCCGTAACCGTAACGATACCTTGCAATTCTGGACGTTCTTGTGAGATACTCAACACTGTTGCACTTCATAAGACTGACAACATGCAGGTTCGCTACAATCGTTGTCTTCATGACCGCTGTTCAGGTTTTACTTGGCGTCGCACAAGTCGTGGGGTCGTTCCGCTGATGAACGACATCGGAAGCATTCAGCCTCGTATCACGGGCGGCTAGCCCCCACCCGCAGGTATTGCGAAGATCCATGGCGCGCGTTCGCTTATACGCTTCCCTGACTGGTTGCGATGAAGAACACCATGATTGCGCAGCTGGCTTGTCCACAGCCTCAAATGCTGTTGCGCAAACCGGATCTGATACGCTCTGTTCCAAAGCACTTCTTGTCCAGGCCGGAGCTTGACTGCTACAATGCCTTTTTCCCAATCCTTTACCGCCTATAACTTGTGTCGTATCTTCCAGCTTTCTCACACGAGCAGCATGCAGATATCGCCTGAAGCCCAAGGCTATCGTCAGCATATACTCAACTACGCTGCACGTTCATATACTCGCACGCTTTTCTTTGGCTATCATTACAGATTTCTTGCTGAGCTGCTCCGAGCTGACGAGGCACATCTACCCAAGCAATACAGTGACCTCGAGGCGTATCACCTTGGACATTTGTCTGTGTATGGGCCGCTTTGCCATGGCTCTGAGCAGTGTCAACGTCATAGTTACAAATATTCTCAATTACAAGACCTTGTCGCAGCCCCGCCTCCAAGCAAAGGGCAAGGACAGGTCCTTTTCCTCAATGGACATCTTCCAGGGTCTTGGATCTGTGAAGTGGGCGCAAAGTACAATATCGCCCCCGAGTTCTTTCGGCAGCACATCCATCTTTGGCGCTCGACTGACGGGCCTGTTCTTCACGCAATCACGAGAACCCCATACGCCACTTCGAACAAAGGACTCCTACTACGTCTCAACACCCAGGGAAACTTTGGCAAAAACAAGCTGCCTGTAGATCCATTCAGTAGCTTGATCTTGCAAGCGCGACGAAGGCTTCTACCCGACGACGTTGAGTGGATGCCCAGACGTTTGGCCGCAGCTCCCGGCTGCTCATATATAAGAGGGCACGCATATCTTAGCAACCTACAATTCGTCATCGAACAGGATGTGTCCATCACCATTGAGTCAAATGGGGACGGTTGGACTGGTGAGCGAACTGTCAAATTGTTGATCTCGATTCGTCACCGCTCACATATGTATCAGCAATCTTGTGGACAGACGTGGGAAGCAGAGACCTCTCCCATAGCCGCACTTACCATCATTTCGTCGAGTATATGGCGGCCAAGACAGAGACAGGACGCCGAGACATCCGCTTATTACCTGTACATTTGCTGGGACAGGAGTCGACGATCAAACATCCATGGCCGCTGCCCGTCCCCGATCTCGATATCACGCAAGACACCGATGGCTCGCTCTTCCAGACAGCGTCCCATCTACCATCAGAGCTCCACGTAATGCTTGATGATCACGAAATCGCAGGGCAAGATCCGCTATACGCACTCGCACCTATACTCCTGTTCGCAGCTGCCTCAGAGATCCAGCTACTATCAACACTTCAAAAATGGTACGACATTATCGCATCGACGAAATGGGATCGGAAGTACTCAACCGAGCATCTGGAACAACTCATAATGCACAAACACCTCCTGGATGACCACGCAAGTCGACATGAAGAGGTTCTACGATTCATCAGCTCGCCAAAGCTGGCTCGATGGGCAGCCAACCTCACACAAGACCAGAGCGATGTAGCTCAGGAAGCCAAAGATGCAGTCAAGGCTGACTACGAGTTCCTCCGATCGCGATGCCGCCAGCTGTCGCTACACTACCAGGAAGCGATATCAATCCTAGTTAGCGCTACTTCACTTGCAGAATCTCAGAAACAGATCACGCTAGCCACCCAGGTCACGAAGCTCACTATACTTGCGACGATCTTTCTTCCACTTTCGTACTGCACTTCGATATTCGGCATGAACTTTGTTGAGCTGGAGCAGTTGAATATATGGATCTGGGTAGTCGTCACAGTGTCGGTTGGGATCGTCACTTTCGCTGTTTATCAGTGGGATGAGAGGCAAAGACTGTGGGATTTCTGGGCTACGGTGAAGGCTAAGTTTCGTTTCGTGCGCTGGCGACGCGATGACGCGTTGACAGTATAAGTTTGAGAATCATGACGAAATGTTGCTATCAGACTATGTCGTACGTCTTAAGCTCGGCAGGAACCTCAAATGCTCCATAGAATGCCACTCTACCAACTTGTAGTCTCCGTTCGAGCGCGGGGCCTTCCATCTCGAAATTCTGCACGTGACCACTGCGTTGCACAAAGCTCTGAAAGCCCACGATACCCTGGCCTACAGTACCATCCTGTCGCACGCCCTCTGCATGGAGCGCGAGACCGCTGTAGCCTTGGGGCGGATCAAAGTCTGGATATACACGATACAGGAGCGCACGCGAAACGAGATCCTTCCATGTCGATATGTCGTGCTCTTTCAGACTCGTCGAGTCACCGGCTGCAGCTTTTTGGTTCAAGAAAATGCCTTCACCCACGACAAGGACGTCGGATGGACGACTGCCCCGGATGCTCTTCGCTGAACGCGTCCCCTTCGTGTCAGCTAGAATCTTGACCTTGGTTGTTTGTCGACGCAGCGCGGCCCAGGAATCGTGATTGAGCCACCCAAGGTTGGCCAACGGGGATGCGACATCCTTCACTGCTGTTGAAGATGTGGGTTTTATAAGCGTGATGTCATGATTGAAACCGTTCGGATAGATGTCCGCTTCTTCATCAAAGCTTTTATGTATCGTCCCAATCTGGGACATTTGTTAGCATGAGAGCCTTTCCACAACGACGTTTGAAGACACACATGCCACTTATTGGCATATACAGTTTACGCACCTTCCCATTACCAGCCCAGATGTCGGCGTACTTGTTCCAATCACGTCTCAGCTTCTGGGCGCGGTCGGACTGGCTCCGACCAGAAACGTAATTCCGCATCGATTTCGCCATGATCGCCTCGGTGATTACATGCGTAGGCATCACCAAAAAAGGAGTACCGTCTTTTACTACCTTGATACCGATGCGGCCGGAGTGCTTCGCTCGTTGATAGTTGGCAAGTGGACGCGCTTCTATAGAGTCGTTGAGCTTGAGTGACGGGCTACTCGCTACAGACTGTACAGATAGCACGGATGAGCGAGCGGGTCAGAGTAAACTCGATGCGCTGTATCCCGGCGTCGTATACGGAACTTTGGGTCGTGCAGTCTTCGTCGGACCTGATTGCATAGTAGGCTCGAAGGTTCGCTCAATATAACATACTTTGAGACCGCCATATTTGTGCGGAAAGTGTAGTGAAGCCCAGGCTGTATCGAAGTGCGCTGGCACTACGACCTGCAGAAGACCATCAATCAGTACGTAGAATCCAATGCTTCCATAAAAGGTGAGGAAGATATCTCTGGCAAGTTCCAAAGCTATTGGGGCACGACAATCGATCGGTGCTGCCGGTCGAGGGTCCGGTGGGGGTATCAATCCGCTGATAGGAGGCCAACGATACTCCACTGGTACTACGACTGGGGAGCGGGCAATAGTGAGAGGATAGTCTTCAGGTGCGTCTGCCTCGAATGGCGTACACGTTCAACACCCATGCTGACTTTCATCATCAGCATAGAAGTTGTCGTATTCGATGTCCCATTGCCAGTCTTCCGGCAAAAGCTTCCGAACATCTTTCCAGTTTCCCGGAAGCGACTCAGACAACGCGGGTAGCAGTTCATGCTCTCCTTCATCACGGGTAGAAAGAGCCGAAAAATTCCACTCTATTGCTTCGAAGTCTGGATGTTCATCGACGGGCGATGAATCTTGACTTTCTTCTGCGCATGTCGAATGAAGCTCGGCCTCTGCTGCATCTGTCGCCGTGGTGTTCGCTTGCTCAGTCTCCGTTCCCGCTTGTTGACCAGGCTCTGAAATCGCGAACGTAGAGGTACCAACACTGGGTACACTCGTCTGGTCCGAACGAGTCGTTGCAGTGACTCCTGTGCGTGACGTAAATCTGCTTTTCTTGGCACGTCTCGTCGACGACCGTTCCTCGTGAGAGGTCGAAGACACGGTCTTGATCGACTCGGATCTTGGCTCGGTCGGAGCAATCCAGGAAATAAACGGCGTAATTTCTGATCGCAATGATCGATGTCCCTCATCATGCCCGTCGGTAGGCAACCCTCCAGGCATCGTGAAGAGTATTTGACGTGGCAATCAATGTTGGTCTAACCTAAGATCTGGAACACGACAATCGAAAGAATTGTGAGTCCTCGTAGATAGGCGTACGTGATGTTGTTCTGCGTGTGGCAGACGAGGCTGGACTGAGGTCAGCACGTCGCGCCTCGTTGGAGCATGTGACGTACGTTGCGTACTGACCAAGGAGTAAGCAATAATGTTCGGAACGGCAAATGACTGTATACTTTGAATCTCGACTTGTTTGGAAAGAAAATGACGCTCGAAGGTTCTGAGAGCAGGCTGAGGTTCAAATGCGTCGCCATGACATGACGTCCGTGCGTACATGCGGCAGGTGAACACTGTCCAGTCAGAATCACGTATGGGTAATCTGCCACATCTTACTAAGACAGTGCTCTTGTGCTGGGAAACGGCATGGTATTGAGCAAGCTCGGCCTACTGCACATGAGATGTCGTGCTATCCGGCCCTGCACGCTCCCCAGTCCTGATGCCGCCAACATACAAAAACTCACCATACACGTAGCGTGCCTGCGCAGTAATATCACGGGTCTTGCTGCCATCGGATACATACTGCTTAGTCGGAAACGCTGCGTCTCCAGGTGCTGTGGGTGCGACAGCACGCCCTGCGAGTTCATCTCATGATCTTGATGCTATACTCTGGGTAACATCGACTTTCTGAAGGTTTACTACAGGGCCCAAGTGCGGTGCTAATCTCTGTGCAGTTACATGTAGCCTCTTGACCAGTAATTGGGCGTGACTCGGAGGTCGTTTAGTCATCGCACAGGCTCTACAATCAGCTCAGAGATGTTCGAGACCTCACAGCATTTGGTAGTGGGAAGACCATTGGATGCGGGCTTCATCGACATGTAGCTCGCCGTGAGGTCAACGCTACTCTGTGCCATTTCCACATGTCCGACGTTGTGTTCTCGCGCGAGGATGGCGCTGACCCCCTAGAACACCCACGGGTGGGTAAATCAAGTGGAAGCCAACCCAAATTCGCTGCATCGAGGTATGATATCTCAGCGCCTGACTAAGTCCTTCTAGTAGACATCGCCATCGGTGTCATGTTTCCCATTGAGCTGTGGGGCGCGTCGAGCGGGAATCGGAGGCGGTTCGGATCGGGTGGACGCTGGTTTCGGCGATGTAGTCTTCTGTATGGGCTTCGAGCCAAACTGGGACTCTGCGCGTTCTCGTATCTCCGTTCGCTTCACGCGCGGTCCGCGCTCGGGTATGTCTCCGTGACTAATGACGCGCTGCCTTCAGCTCAGGACGTGGAGCGCGACTCCAAGAAGCGGCTTCCTGTGGAGTTTGCTGCCTGTGACGCGTCAATCCGCAAGAAACTTTACCCATATTCTAATCGGAAGTGCGGTAGGACCGTGTCTACGTTGTGGATAGACTCGATGGGCTGTACATTAGACAATACGGGCGCGTTCACGGTCGGATCAGGTCGGGTCGTGTCAGGGGTAGTTGACATGCTGATGCTCGAGCAGCGACTCCCGTTCAGCCATAGAGGACTTCTCTGGTGTAAGCTGGCATGGGCCTGAAGTACCGTGTGGAATGTTGAGGGTGCAGTTGCGAAGTGAGCCGTTGCTGATGGCGATCCATGGATGGATCTAACAATGACGATGGCAGAGTGGGGCGACCGACGATGGCCTGTGCGCGTCGAGCTACCGCGACACCTAAACCATGCCCAACATGTTTCTGCGATGAACGGCGTTGGTGAAAAACGCACACTGCACCGCAATGCTGCAGACAACGGTCGTGACGATAGCTGTCTGTGCACTCGCACTGCTTGTGCGAAGCAAACACTCGTTGCGCGACCATCACCACCATTACCACGATCATGAGATCTTGGGTTCCTAGATCAAGTGTCCATCAGACATTCTAGATGCTGTCAGTTCGGACTTCATTTGTGGTGGAAATGGGCTTTCGGGGTGTCTGGGTCGGTCCCACGCACACCGAAATAGGTAACGCTGTTGCCACTTCAGTGATCGAATCCAAACCCTATGCGATTCAGTAGTGCATGAGACATCGAATGTTTCCATACCATCACCTCGATGCATTTGCTTAATTGCATGCACTGTATACAAGTTTTCATCTCCGAAAAAGCATTCAACTTGTGTCCCTTCATGAAACCTCAGTAGTATATTTCAACAGGATACTCGAAGTGATTTTGAAGATGACAGTCTGCAACAACATGATTCTATTAGGTACCTAGGTCCTGTACAAATGAGTGTGTAAAGTAAAAGTTCTAACATAGGACAAGAGATTGGGGCGAAGTACCCGCCTCCGCGCCATCAGCCACCAAGGAGATATATTGAGCCGATGTCATCGGCACAGCCTTCATCCCAGGCTAATCTGATCGAAAGTCTTATCGATCTCTTCCCTAGTTTCGTCTTTAGAAGCACCCTCCTTAATCTCAACCTGAGCTATCTTTGCATCGGAGCCGTGTTTGTTGACCCATTCTTTGATTGTCGAATTATCGGCTTTCTTGTTCCCCTGAATGGTGTAGCGGTGCTTTCCGTCTGTTGTTCCCGCATAATCGAAGCGAATCCCATATCTTTCCTGGAGATTTGGTGATGTTGGCCAGGCGGTCCCGTGTTGCCTCGCTTTGGGGTTTGCGAGCTTCTCCCACCCATTCCCCTCAAACATGGCTTTGACGACGCCCTTGAGATGACTACGTGACATTTTGCTTGAAGTTCTTTAGATTTCAGTCATGAGTTAGTGTTCTGGACTCTGTAATTACGTTGTACGTACCCAATATCGCTGAGCTGTGTACAATTTCGAAGCCGGAGTGTGGGTACAAGGGATGTCGAACTGCTTTGGATCTCGATGTGATCAACTGCTCTGATGTTTCGATAATGAAGACAATGGTCGAGGATACAATGCATTATATACTACTATGTCTGGCGCTTCTAACAGGTTTACAGATACTGTGTGACTCTTTCTATGAGTCTATTCATGACTTGCTTGTTGTTTCCCGGGTGCAGCTTTTCATGACTCCTGTTTCAAGATTACGCATGAGCCAAAGAACAAGCTGAAAATACCCCGTTACACGATGTTACATATATTGGTCAGTGTTTGTGGGGCTCTGAAGCAGGTGATGTGTTTACAAAGGACAGAGCTACGGAGTCACAGACCGAGCCTAATGCTATATGCTAGCTTTTAGGAAACTCTGTGGCTGTAAGAGCATGATCTATATATGCTGCTACGAATAGATGTATTGAAATATGCTAGGCACAATTTACCAAATGATATTGAACCTGGGTTCACGGTGAAAGGAAAATGGCTATTACACAGCACTCGTGGCAATTCTACAGGACGGCGATGTAGTTTGGTGACCACCAACATTATTGCTGCTATGCGTCCACGTGTTTGGTACGATACTGCGAGCATTGAGTAAATTCATTCCAAAGTTTCTGGTAGTCTCCTTTACTTGGGTAACTTCGACCCTTCAAGATCGTCAATTATAGACACGAGGGCCATTTCCAGGTACCTGATCTTGTACGTCTCTGGAAACGAGGAACAAAGCGCATGGTGAGCCTCTGGATGCTCTGACAATGAGCGATCATAGCTGGATCCATTGTTGGTGTAGATACAGACTTCTGGGAAGGTCCGCGGGTTCCAGTACGGCACCCACCTGGGCACCTGCAGTGTCGGGGATTGAACCGCTATCAGGCCCATC